GAATATTAGAATGATTTCTGAAGATCATGTGACACTGAAGACTGGAGTAATGATGCTGAAAATTCAGCTGCGCATCACAGAAATAAATTACATTTTAACAGATATTCACATAGAAAACAGCTATTTTAAATTGCAATAAAATTTCGCAATTTTTTACTGTATTTTTAATCAAATAAATGCAGCCTTGGTGAGCAGTAGAGACTTCTTTCAAAAACATTAAAACAACTTACCAACCTCAAACTTTTGAATGCTAGTATAAAATTGTGACAAAAACTGTCTATTTCACTCTGGTGTTAATTTTTTAATATTTGGGGTATTTTTGTCACTTTTGTTGCCCAGTGAATTCAGTCTCTCTGAAAGAGCGCAGGACTCACTGTGACCCTAAAACGGCTGAAGATCACCACAGACACGAGACACTGGAACACAATGTTCCTGCCAGAAACCGGATAGAGAAAACAAGGAGACTGTGAGAAAGACAGACCGAGGGGCAGAGAGACATAAAGAGAAAAACACTCTATAAATGCACATTTACATCAAAGGCATTCATTTCGGCTGACTCTGGTGCTGAAGGAAATCTCTTTAGCGTGTTTTGTGTATGAGTTGATGTGAGTCACGGCTCACCTTGAGACACATTTCTCTTTTGTACATCTCTCATCTTTATTTCATGAGCTGTGAACTCTTGACAGCAAGTAGGTGGTCATTTCGCAGATGCTTTTATTCACAGCGGTACTTTAATTAGAGACAGACCCTTGGAAATTACTTTTGTGCCTGTTAGTTCATGTCTGCAGCTTATCTGTACACTTAAAGTCACTGTGATGTTTGCAAAAAACCCATTAGCCTTTATACAAAGAGACGAGTCCTTTAATATTAGTATGTACGTTAACACAGGACTGATTGTATGATCATCAAAGGAGAGATGTTGATGTATCGTGGCTGTTTGTGTATTTCAGAGGCTCATAAGTGCGAGTTGAGCTGCCGCTCTAAAGAGACGGGTGAAGTCGTCTTCATGAACCAGGTGATGCATGATGGGACGCGCTGCAGTTACACGGATCCGTTCAGCGTCTGCGCTCGAGGAGAGTGTCTGGTGAGAATCATATCATGCGCATGAACACAATACTGATGTCTGATTCATTCACTAAAGCTGGTGCATTTGAATGATTCAGTCAAATCGTTACATCTGATTAAGACACTAAATATAACCAATATAACTTAAAAATACAATATATAATTGATCTAATAAATCAATCAATCAGTGAAATAAGTAGTATATTAAAATGTATCAAATATATCAAATAAAATGACAGAAGGTTTGGGGTTGGTAAGATATTTTAATGTTTTTTAAAGAAATTTCGTCTGCTCAGCAAGGCTGCATTTATTTGATCAGAAGTACAGTAAAAATTGTGAAATATTATTACAATTTAAAACCGCTGTTTTCTATGTGAATATCTGTTAAACTGTAATTTATTTCTGCGATCAAAGCTGTATTTTCAGCATCATTACTCCAGTCTTCAGTGTCACATGATCTTCAGAAATCATTCTAATATGCTGATTTGCTGCTCAACAAACATTTCTGATTATTATCAATGTTGAAAACAGTTGTGCTGCACAATATTTTTGTCGAAACTGTGATACATTTTATCTTTCAGGATTCACAGATGAATAGAAAGTTCAAAAGAACAACATTTATTTGAAATAGAAATCTTTTGTAACATTATAAATGTCTTTACTGACACTTTTGA